AAGTTCGTGCGCTCCGCTGCAGGCGGTCCAGTGTTTCGTTGGTTCGAATCCTGGGCGCGGACATGGCACTGCTCATCAGACCACGCTGAGGCAGCGTCCCACATGCCACAACTAGAAGGATCCACAACGAAGAATATACAACTATGTACTGGGGGGCTTTGGGGAGAAAGAGGAAAAAATAAAATCTTAAAAAAAAAAAAAAAAGAATACTTAATAAGAATTTCCAAATTCTGGAGGGATCAGATAGGGAGAAAAGATAAATGTTTCAATTTTTTTTACAAGTGTATAATTTTATCAAATTGTTGTAAGTCATAGCTGGCAAGAGATAAAAAAGAAAAACACTTCCTTAACTCTGAGAAAACAAAACACAAAACATTTTTAAAAATAGCAATATTTTTAACAAGAAGTCATAAAAATTATAATCATTCTTATCCATTTGTTTAGTCCTGTGTGATAGATTCTCAACCTTAATCTTGTCAGCAGTTTCATGAAGTCATCAGTTTCTCTGTTAGAGTTCTGCAATTTCTTACCAACTTTAGTTTTACCATCTGAAAGTTTATCAGAAATTTGTATTCTAGAGTGAATGTCAGAGTCCTTTCCATGAACTTCTCTGAAGATGAAACATATTTGTGATGATATCAGAGTAAACTAACAACTGTCTGTAAATAACAAAAGACTGAAAAATGGCGATTGACAAAGAAACTTGGCTATTTTTGGTGACACATAACATTCTGAGACAACAATGAGAATTATGGATGACAATCAGAAGGGATCAGAATTTTAGTAATGTTATACAATTTTTAAACATTTATATCAATAACATTTACCTATATAATATCATAGGTCTCTATGAAGCAATATTTAATTATCCCCTTAAAGTCAGTGACAGTTAAATAATTTTGGGTGAATGCAGAGAATTAAATAGCTGTTAGAAAAACCTTAGCATTTGTGATTAGGGATCTGACAGAAACAATATAGGAAATTTGTTTTGCGAAAACATAAAATCCTTATCCTTCTGGTAGACTACTCAAAGAAAAAAACATTTATAATCGTTTTTCACCAAGAGAATACTAAAAGTTTAGGAAAATTATCTCTTTTTTTAAGAAATGATGGCCAAGTTTTAATTTTGTACCAGTTTAATTTTGACATTAAAAGTTATTTATTTAGGGCCAGCCCCATGGCCAAGTGGTTCAGTTTGCATGCTCCACTTCAGCTGCCCAGAGTTTCACTGGTTTGGATCCTGGGCACAGACATGGCACCGCTCATAAGGCCATGCTGAAGTGGCATCACATGTGCCACAACTAGAAGGACCCACAACTAAAGTATACAACTATGTACTGGGGTAATTTGGGGAGAAAAAGTAAAAAAAAGAAGACTGGCAACAGTTTTCAGCTCAGGTGCCAATGTTTTTTAAAAAAAATCTTACTTATTTAATTGCACTTACTTTAATCTTAGCCAACTTGACCAGGCATAAAACTCCTCAGAGTTTTACCTTTATAAACTTTTTGTCACTTACTTTTTTATATTTAGAATTAGTCCCAGTACTTTAGACAAACTTATCTTTTTTAACCCAACAAGCAAAAATACTGTTATTTTTTATACTTTTTTGCTAAAAACATACATTTTAGTTTCCTTGAATATAAATATTTTTCCCTATTAATTTTTAGTAACTTTAGTTACATATATTAATTAGAATCTTTCACCCTTGGAAAACTTAATTTCTAAGTAAACACCAAGTAAGCAATTACAAACTTTTTTTACAGTAGCTTTGTGGTTTGACAAATTTACAAATACCTTTTATAAGTTTTAGAAACATGTTACTTTATAGTAATAAAACACAAGGTGTGTATATTAATAGACCCAAACACTTTTTAGTTTTTCTGTAATAAGAAGCCAAAAGTAGATAAACTTAGACATGTTCGGCCATAATGTTTCAGTGTTTTATCCCATCTGAAAGTGACCCAGATGACCCAGGTTTTGTCATTTAACTTAATTTAGTGAAGTTATAAAGTTTAAGTTACCAAAAAGATTTTGGAAGCTGTTTTTAAGTATACAAACCATAAAACACAATTTTGTTCTCAAAAACTCTTACCCAGTTTTAACAATTATGTATTAATTACTCTTAAAAACTTCATGTGACAGTAACCATCATCTTAAGTTGTTTTAAGTACATACATCTTAACATATAATTATTGTTAAAAGTTTCTCCAAAAATATTTATCCTTTTACATTTATTTAGTTTACCTGTTCTCAACAATTATATTTAGATCGTCTATAAAAACCTCATGAGAGATTAACCAAAATCAGCCATTATAGTGAGTTATTAGTTTTGCCGATAAATTTTGTAACAGAGATAATATGAGCTCGTTTGACCAGTAAACCCAGGCTGTATGTCTGCACCATATCGGATGCTGGTAACTCAGCAGACATGCCTATTTTAATCAAACCAGCAAACTTAAACAGGCTTTCATTTACCAAAGATCATTTTATATCATGTTAAGTAACTTTGTCTTTTAGAAGATTCCGCATATTAATCAAATACTGCATTCCATTATGAGAGATTTTGAATCCTCCCTTTTAAGGGTAACCTCTAACATGGGCTCATCTGAAACAGAGGCTCCCCAGAATGGCCATTACGACTCCAAATTGTCTCAAAGGTTTACTTATTTTCACTTGTTTAATTTTAGATCAGGAATTTCGAGGGAGCTGCAGTGGCAAATCTAGGTGAGAGAAGCAGCAGATTTGGCTTAGGCTGCTGGCATGTTTAATTATTTAATTGTTTTCTCTTAAAGAGGCAGTAAAGTATTCCTGATGTTATTTAGAAGCCTCAAAAGATTAAAACAGGCTCCCCATTGTTGTAGCTGGCTTTTTCCAATTGCATACATCAGTTTGGGTAAACTGAAATTGCCCCATTTTGGCCATTTTAAAGTGAGATCTCCTTTAGCATGGTAATTAGCATAGCCTGAAGGGTGGATTTATATGTTCTTACAATATCAGGCACGGGAAATACTCCCCAGTGAGACACAATGTCTATCCCCACAACATAATCTATAATACAATCAGGCAAAAGAGATCTAATTATTTTACATAAAACCCATTTAAATATACCAATTTTTACGAGCCTTTATGTTAACTTTATGTTAATTTTTCAATACTTATACATTTAATTACAGTTTATATTAGAATTCCATTAACAAGTTTTGATATTACATTATGTAGGGAAAGTATTCCCAGTTAGACATAACATTTATTCCCCAAAAAACCATTCATGCAAAGTTGACATAACCTTCTTATATGACATTAGCTTAAATGCTTTAATTTTGATAGTCTTATTAACCTGAGCAGCCTAGCTCTTGCCCCAAACAATTGCTGGTCAGGTTTCTTACTGTGATTTCTGCCTCCTGACTTTTTAAAATTTTTTCAAACTCGGGTGAATAGAACAGGTTTGTCTGATGTCCTTTAATGTTGGGGGGCCACTGGGGGATCTCTTTAGCCCATCCAACCTTAGGCAATGTTTTCTTAAAAGCTTTGTTTTAACTTTATTTATGTCTGTTCTATTCGTCCCACCTTTTCTTTTTAATAACTAGTTAAAGACTTCCATCCCATTGGGATGAGTCCTGTGACTCCTCCTTTTCTGATTTCTCTTTGTTAACTTAATGTTTTCATTAGCATCTGTAAGACCCCCCAAGAAGAAACTGAGACCCCAAGTTTGATTAAGTTTTTAAGACTAGCCATTGTATTTTTCTTTTAATTCGGTCTTTCATAGGTACCAATAAAACAGCTGTTTATGACAAGAGCTCTCTAAAAATTTTTTCCAACTAAGGATTCATTATTTGGCCATTTTTTCTCTCCAGAGTTTAAAGAATAGTGTGGCCGTGCAGTGTCACAAAAGAAAATCATCCCTTTTTAGACATTGGCTAATGACTATAATTAGGGCATGTACTTAGAATTAGCCCCAATGGGCTCTGCTTGGGGACAGACAGCATGTTTCCCATTCTGATACACAGAGAAAGATAGACACACAGACCCAGATGCAGAAAAACCAGACACCAGTGAACCGGTTCCCAGATTGAGGGTAGAAAGTCCTACAACTGTTCCCACTCCAAATGTGTGCCCCGACGGCCGCTCTGTGAACAGAAAGGACCCTAGATAGTTCCTCCATGACAAAAAGGGCCCCAGATGGCTCCTCTGTGAATGGAAGGGACCCCAGATGGCCCCTCCATGAATGGAAGGGACCACAGAGGAGGAGAAGGAAGTACATGGGTGTCCCTGAGGTGACTTAACCATATTTCAGATGGAGTCTGTCGACTCACAAGAATGAAGAGCAAACAAACAAACAAACAAAACTAGAACCTGTTTCCTTGCCATGAGAAAACGTGTCTAGGGTCAGCAGTGCTGGGCCAGAGAGAAAGTTTTGGGGACAGTCCCTAGGGAAAATTACCTAGGCAGCTGCTGCTCTACTTCCCAGGAAATCCCAGTCAGCCCGCAGGCTGCAGAGCCATGGGAAAGAGCCCCCTGGCTGCCTCACCAGATTGTTACCACCTACAAACATAGGTTCCTTACCTACCACACAAGAGGGGCCAAACTGGAATGTCAGGCTTATGACAAGGAAAGGGGTTTTATTTCTGGTGACATCAGCTGGGAGACAAGAGTGAGCCCTCAAATTAGTCTCATTTTACCTCATCCCCCCAAAAGAGGGGAGGCCAGGGGTTTTAAAGGTTTGTGAGGCATGTGGCTGCTTGTAGAGAGGAGGGGCGAGTCAGTGGCCTTGCGGGTGGGAGCTTTCCCACCAGCCTGCATTCGACCTTGGGAGGAGGAGATGATAAGGAATCCAGGTAGCTGTCCTTGGCTGTTTGTCTCCATGGCAGATAGTGGATTCTGGAGCTAGGGAGCCAGGGAGTAAGCAGAGAAAGAGTGCTTTGGGTTTAACCCCATATATGCTGGGTTCAATGCAGGGGAACTGATATCAGGGCCAGCATCACTGTGACTGTAGCACTTACCATCTTGTGCTGGGAGGGCCTTTGGAAGGGAGCACTGTGAGGTCGGGCAGCTCTGTATTGTTCATCTCCGTATTTCCTGATCCTGGTAGAGGGCCTGACACGTGATAGGTGCTCAGTAAGTGCATTCTGAATATCACTATACAGTATCAGGTGCTGCTGTACTGGGAGGCTGATGCTTTGGGTCAGTGTAATCAAATGCAGAGGATGGGCCAGCAGGTGATGCAGCAGTTAAGTGCACACGTTCCGCTTCGGCAGCCAGGGTTCACTGGTTCAGATCCCAGGTGCAGATATGGCACTGCTTGGCAAGCCATGCTGTGGTAGGCGTCCCACATAGAAAGTAGAGGAAGATGGGCATGGATGTTAGCTCAGGGCCAGTCTTCCTCAGCAAAAAGAGGAGGATTGGTAGCAGTTAGCTCAGGGATAATCTTCCTCAAAAAAAAAAGAAAAGAAACAAAAGACGCAGAGGAAACCACATGTAATAGGATTCTGTTCATCTTTAATGTCCCTAAGCAGTACTGGCATCAGGCTGCATTTTAGTCTATGGTTATGGCTCTCTTGGACCGTCCTGAAACATGGCCCTGCTCTGTAATAAATGCCCTACTAATGGGCACTTAAAACACCATTACAGAATCTGAGATGACCTGCCTCTGCAGAAACAGTCTTTAGCCTATGGACAAAGCTGCCACAAGCCATAGTCACCCACTGAGGTTGACACACCATGTTGCCAGCTTAGTGCCTTCCATCCATTAGCCCAGGCCACAGCAGCTAAAGCTTATTTAATGTAAACTGGTACAAATCACTGGGATCAAAATGCTTTGCCTATCACTAAAGTTCAAGTCTCACAGCCACAATTCCTGGCCCTACCAAGGGCCTCATTCCATGAACATTTTGCCCTCCTCAGTTCCATATCTTGCTTAATCTTCAGTGTGGGAATTTTTAATTCCAAGTCCATGAAGTGTTACAGTTAGTGGGAATGCACCAAACAAATAACATCCCCCTCTTCTTTCTAGGTTTATAACAAATTAAGATAAAAGTCAAACAGTAGCAAATGGGAAGCCAGAATGCCATCTTTATTAGAAAAAACACCGAGTTGAGGGTGTAAGTTATTGTGAGAGTCAGGTGGGTTTCCTAAATCTGATCCCAAGAGTTCAGTCGACCCACCCATTCAGTCACAAGCAATGTGCGACTGGGACAGGCATCCTCACCTGAAGAACTGACCAGGTAAGACTTGGGTCAAGGGAAAGCAAAGGAAAATTCCCACACCCTGGGCATCTTCTCCTAAAGAAAGGGCCAGAGAAGGTGTCTGAGCTCAGCTGTGTCACCCCACCTCCCCTCAGGCATGAGTCAGCAGAGGAGAGATGCCAAGGGTGTTACACTAGTTGAGCTCCCCCAATTCGGAAGGAGTCAGGAGGAGGGAAGAAGCGTTCCCACTCAGCACCAGCACATGACAGGCGCTCAAAGAACTTCTGTGATTTCACCAATAAAACACACATATTAGGAGGTGCTGTTGTTCTGCATCAGTATTTTGCTCCTTTACTTCCTGTAGTTGCCTGCTGCACTGGACCACATATGGATAGACATGGTGATTCTGCAGTAGTCAAGAGAAGACAGGAGGAATCATTGAGGGATGGCGGACTGCGAACACTGACGGCACTAACGGTGCTCATGAAGTGTCCGCTGCATTTCTCGTCTGTAGTTTAATGCTACCCATCACAGCACAAACTGAAAAACTTTCTAAGCCTTGAAGATTGGGAAAAAAATTAATAGTGGCCTTTTTAAAATGATTTTTCTTGCATTCTTTATTTTCTACTTCAAAAGAAATGAAATATCCATAAGAACAAATTGACTCAATTTATTTTCAAACTCTAACCTCCTTTCAGACTTCTAATTTAAAGGCCAGTAATGGATACATAGCTTTGACCTTAACACATTAATGTTGCATTTCAAAAGCAGGGAAATATGGGGCCATGTGATGTTTCTCAGATTTAGAAGCCTGATCACTTAATAATGTCACTGTCCCTATCACTATACATATCAGGTGCCTGCTGAACTGGAGGCCGGTGTTTTGGGTCAGTGTAACCAAGATACAGAGGGAACTGGTGACGATAGCCGACCCTTCAGAAAGCGTTAGGACCTAGGACCTAAAAATCTGCCAGCTGGCAGGATTACCTACCCAGGGCTCCCAAAGAAAGTACAGGGATAGCAGAAAAGAGAGAAGGACTGTGCCTCTATGTGCCTGTTCATGGCAAGTGGCCATTTCCCTGGCAGAGTAGGGTAAAAACCTGGGGTTGGACAAGGTGATTCATAAGGTCCGTTTTGGCAGTTAATGGCAAGAGTTAGGATTCCATTGGTCAATTTGAAAAATCACCAAGTACTTGTTCATTTCTTGCTGTGGCCCCAGCAGGGAAGTCTGTTTGCCAGTGAGGGGAAAGGGAAATGGAGAGACGAGGAGAAGGCGTGGAAGACTGAAGACGGGGGCACTTTGGGTGCGTATGCTCTAGCCAGGGAAGCAAACAGATGCACAATCATTTGAAGAAGCCAAAAGTTTGGTCAGGAAAAGAGGCAGTGTAAGGATATAAAATACCCTGGTCCCATCACTTATCATCCCTGAGACTTTAATCCTTTCTGCGTCTAAATTTCCTCGTCTGTTAGCAGGGTGTCATGACGGTACCCATCTTGTAGAGTTAAGAGAAGATTATAAGAGATAACACTTAAGGGGCTTTGATGTTGGCTTTAAAAACACTGCTAGGCTTGTGCCATTAAGTCAATGTAAAGCAGTGCGTCAGGATCACGTTTTCTGTGGTTCCTGCAGAAAGGGTTTTTCTGAGTTAACATAATGTTACAGCATTTTATACGGGATTGACATGAGAAACATCTACTTCCCTGGAAACCAGAGTTTTGCATTATCAATTACATGACTCTTCTGTAAACACCTGAATGATAAATCCTCCCAACTTCAAAAGTGAAAGGAGAAGAGGAAATGAAAAGGAAATTCACAGAAGAAATACAAACAGCCAGTGAATATAGGAAAACATAAAGGCGCTCAGCATCATTCATGAAGACATGAAAACTAAGACGCCAATGAGGCGTTATTTTCATGGGTCTTATTGTAAAGACGAAATGTTAAATCTCAGTATAAAATGCAGAAATGGGTTTTCTTATTCGATGTGATGAAAACTGGTTTAAACTTTCTGAAAAGAAACTTAGTGATGTATATTAAATAGTCTAAGATTTTTCCTTGTTCTAACCCCATAATTCCACGTATAGAAACTTATCTGTAGGAAATAGTTATAGATGTATGAAAGGATTTATCTTCAGCATTGCTTTTACTTGCTATATCCTCCCCAAAAATTGCAACAATAAGAAGTTAGTTAAATAAATTTTGATATAGAAACACAATGAAATACTATACAGCCATTTTAAGGGCTATTTAATGGAGAAATACTTTCTTGATGTAGTGTTGTATGAAAAAAGTACAGTGTTCAAGATTTTATTAAAAGTTTGTACTGAAAACAGACATTTCTTATTATGATTCAAATTATGTATGAAAATGTTCATGATATGTCATGTAATTAAGAAAAAGTAGATTACAAAACAAGATTATGGTACAATTGTACTTTTACATAAAAGTATATTTTGAGATGATATTGGAACTCTGCACACCAGATGTGAACAGTGATTATCTCTAGAAGCTGGGATTATGTTTGATTGTAATTTCACCATTTTTGTTCTCCTGCATTTACTGATTTTTCTTTTAAAAATTAAAATTTAGTTTTAATTAGACAAGTAATAACATACACATATTCACTGTAATAAAATGTTCAAATGATACAGAAGTATAGAGTAAAAAGCGGAAGTCCGCCTTCCATGGCGTTTCCCCCGAGCGCCCCAAGGGCTGAGGCTCACTAGTCAGAGTTTCCCAGCATCTTTCCGGAAGCCTTCCCGGGGTCCCTTCTCGGCGCCGTTCCCCAGGGCGCAGGCCCCACCGCAGCGCCTTTCAGCCGTTTCCTCGGCTCTTGTGGATGCGGCGCTCTGCTGAACGGGGCGCCTCTGGGAGGCTTCCCGCGCGCCCTGGCTGTGCCGAAGGAGCACGATCTCCGGGGAGTTCTCTGGAGCCTCTCCTGCAGCTCACGGACCCTCAGAGCATCCAACTCGCGTCCTTTTCTTCCCTCCCCTCCCCTCAGTCAGAGAGGTTTCCGCCGCCTCCGTAGGAGGGGTTGACTCCCGCCTTTGCAGGACCTTTGGATTTGGAAAGTTTAGGCTGAGCTGGCCAAGCCTCGGTTTGTAAGGGCATCTTTACAATAATGGAAGGTATTCTCAATAAATCTTGGCTTCAAGGCTGTCTTTCTCCCCCC